TGAGCTTCTGGCCAGAAGTCTCCAGGGGTCTGTGTCCTGTCGGAGGCTGGCGTCTGGGAGGAGGCAGTGCAGGCACCGTGTCTTCCCCCTCATGACCAGCTTTCTCAGGGTTGGCTGGGCCCCAGCAACCTCCACAGGTGGCCAAGTTTCCTCCCTTCCGCTCCCCCTCTCCCGGTTAACGGGGTGGTTTTCAGTGCCAGTGGTGCCCTGAGTCCTTCAGCGGGACCCTTCGAGGCTGGAGCCCCTGCTCCCAGCTCACTTTGTGCCCTTCCTGCCCTTCTGGGGCCTGGGCCAGGGGCGCCTCCTCCTGGGTGCTCTTTTTTCGGTCTTTTTAGGCAATGTTGCTAAAAGTTCTGTTCCTTCTCTTTTTTAAGAGAAAACACTCTATGATTCATAATGATACATTCTGTTCAAATTCTGTCTCGTGGGTCGCCCCAGCCTCGTGACCTCACACTTGCGTGTTTTCCGGAGCTCTGGCTGGAGGGCCCTCGGCTTCCCCCACAGCCCACAGGCTGGAGGTAACCGCAGCCACCACCAGGAGGGCTGGGACCCCAGTCAGACTCCGCCCTAGGGCACAGCCCTGGAGGGGTGCAGCCTTAGTCCGATTTTCAGTCACTTGGAGATGCCCCACGTGTGTGGTCCTGTGGGCAGTTTCAGACACACCTGGGGTCACTTGTTTTCCGTGTTTGGATTGCTTTTATTTTTTAAACTGTTATGATTATGTAAAAAAGTTCTGTGCTTCCAAAGTCAAATCCAGGAGACAAGGCAACCCTTACCCTAGTCCACCTGTCCCCCAAGGTAAACATTCCCCCTTTGGGCTTCCCATTCTATTGTTTCCTGTAATCGAAGCAGCCCCTCCCTCAGCTCAGAGGGCTGTGAGCGCTGGAGGACCTAGGCTGTGTCCAGCTGCCCCTCCTTCCTTCTGCAGAACCAGCTGGTTTGAAATGAATAAAACTAAAAAAAAAAAAAGACCGTACCCTTTTATGTAATGATGTTTACTTTGAATTTATATTAGTTCACACAAACACTCCATCCATGCTTTTGTTCCGGCCCTCCGGTCCAGTTTAAGAACCCATTGTGGCCCTCGAGTCAAAAAGTTTGCCCACCCCTGACCTAGGCTGTGTCCAGCTGCTCCTCCTTCCTTCTGCAGAGCGAGGCCCGGCAGGCCAGCTGGCTGCCCAGGGCCCGGTGGCTGATGGAATGGGGCATGTCCAATGCTGGGGCTTGGGGATGTCCAAAGCGAATCCCTGAGGGGCAGGCTTGTGGGTGGGGAGATGTGCCTCTCCCCTGCCCCCCTAGCACTGCAGGGGCATCCTGGTCAGGCCAGCTTGCACCTCCAGGGACCACCCCAAGAGCCACACACAGGGGCACCAGGCATTTTTCCCACCTGGAGAAGCTGCATTTTCTTGGCACTGGGTGACGAGGGACCCACTGGCTTTAGCACTGTGACCCGAATCCCCGCCCCATCATCACCTCCCGTCATCTTGCTAGCATTTAGCGAGCTCCTGTTGTGTACTGCACACAGTTCCAGGGGCCAAGGATGCAGGCGTGAACAGAGGAAAAGATCCTCAGAGCTGATGTGCTAGAGTTGGGACCTGCACTCAGCACAGCCCTTTCGTGCAGGGGACATGCTGGGGAGGAGGGCTGCAGAGGGACTCTGTGACCCCAGGAGGTGAGGGTGGTCACCCAGCGGTCAGGCCAGCATATGGAGCCTCCACCTGGTCAGGGGCACCTGTCCTGCTGGTTTGGAGCAAACTTGATGGGCACCCCTGACCTTCACCCCCTCCAACTGTCTTGCCCCCTGCAGGAGTGCGGCCTGTTACGCAAGGGGACGGTGTTGCTGGCCGACAACGTCATCTGCCCAGGAACGCCGGAGTTTCTGGCGCACGTGCGTGGGAGCAGCCGCTTTGACTGCACACACTTCTCCTCCTTCCTGGAGTACTCCCAGGCCGTGGATGGCCTGGAGAAGGCCGTCTACATGGGCCCGGACAGCCCCGCACGGCCTTAACCGCCTCCCCGGCTCTGGGGCACTCGCCAGGCCTGGTTAGGAAGGTCACGATGGGCATGCCGCCGCCAACCCTGCTTCTGCAGTTCTGGGGTCTGTCCTCAGTGCCACACACTGGAGGCTCTGCACATGGCTCCAGGCTGTCAAACACCAACCCACCCAGAGCAACCCGCTCACCATGCACAATCCCTGACATCAGTCTGGAAAGTTATCTCCGAATACCAAGTCAGGGTTAGGTGGTGCCCACGGCTCACTCACCCCACCAGCATGCCAGTAGGGTTTCTTACACGGACAGGCCCTGACCCAGCAAAGGGGAAAGTTGGGAACATCTGGAAACTTGGGCTATGCACTCACAGTCTGTCCTCGAGCTTGGCAGTCACCAGGTGGCAGCAATGCCTCAGTGCTGGCACTGTGACCAACAACACATCGCACTTCTGATTCCTTTTTCTCTTCTCCTTTTTAAGAAGGAAATGCAACTTTACTAAAACGGGCTGACTTTTAACAATTTTATATATTGATATCATGACTAAAAGATACTAAAATGGTAATTAAAGATCTAAATATTTCGATATAAGAGGTCAACTTTGTGTTTTTTCAACCACCGCGCTGTTCTTTCCTTCCCCTGGCGCCCTCCGTGTTGGCACCAAACACACAGCGCTCCCCTTGACTGGATGCCAATGTTGCCCATGCGCCCAGGGGCTCCCAGCACTGCTCCTCCAGTGGCCAGGCCAGGAGCCTGTCACAGCCCCACCTGGACAGCTGCAGGCTGGGCTCAGCCCCAGCTGGAGGCTGTGTCACCTGGGAAACCAGAACAGGGCAGCTGGCCACCCTTCATCTCTGGCCAAGCAGGTGTTGGGGAATGGAGGCCCCAGCCTGCAGCAGAGCCAGGCATGGCCTCCAGCACCGGGTCCCTCGGGCCCCCGGTGGCACTAAGTGGAGGCACCTCCCCAGGCCCACTCAGCCTTGTGTATGGAAGAGACAACAAGCTCAGACCGGGCTGCACAGCTGGTGAGTAATGAGGTAGAGTTGATCTGTAGCCACTAAACCCACAGCTGCCTCCAGCCCCGGCCCTGTCCCTCCAATCCCAACCCCCAGACGGCTTGGACCTCTGGTCAACTCAGGGGAGCACCCTGTCCTGGATGAGCCCCTCTGCCCAGGACACCACGCTGGGGCTCAGGGCCTAGCCAACCACCCAGGAGCAAGCCCACCCCTCTCTGTATGTAGCAAGGGGATCGCAGCGAGTCTGGGAGAATGTGTGTGGGAACCACCCAGGGGCCTGAGAGCTGAGATCCCTCTGGACCCCTGGCCCCCCACCCCACAACTCCCACTCGCAAACAGGAGCAATCAGCTTG